GTGTGCGTGTGTGTGTGTGTGTGTGTGTGTGTGTGTGTGTGTGTGTGTGTGTGTGTGTGTGTGTGTGTTGAAACAAACTGATCGTCTTCCTTGAGCCCTGTGTGCGTCTGTCTGTCTGCCTGTCTTTTTGTTCGTTTGTTCTTTCTCGTTAATGGGAAAAAATAAAACAAACCTGATCATCTTCCATGAGCTGTAGGAAGCTGCATCCCCGCTTTGGTACCCTGGCCTGCAGTTACCCTGACGAGTGGCTTTCCATTTGGAGGGGGAAAGGGGCTTGGCGTTAACCTGATTGTTACCATGTCTGAAATGTCCTCCACGATCTGATACCAGCCTACCTAAACGACCTTATACCAGCAAACTATGGCCCCAGAGCTAAGAATGGTTTTTATATTTTTAAATGGTTGGGGGGAAAAAATCAAAAGAAGGTTTTGTGACGTGTGAAAATTAGAAGAAATTCTACATTTCAGTGCCCATAAAGTTTTATTGGACAACTGCCACCCATTCCTTTCATGTCGGTGTTTACTGTTGTAACAGCAAAAGTGAGTAGTTGCAGGAGGAACTGTGTGACTTGAAAGCCTAAAATACGTGCTATCTGGCCCTTTCCAGAAAAGCTTGTCCACCCCTGACTGATCACCAAACTGTATTCTTGCCTCAGAGTTCTTTACTCTCTCTGTCAGCTCTGCCCAGACCGCATTTCCTAGTTCTCTCCTGGTTGGTTCCTTGTCACTTGGTGTCAACTCAAATGTCATCCCAGAGAGGCTTCAACTTCTTGAACATCTTAACTACTAGTATTCCCAACACACATTGCTCGAAGGATGTATTTAGGATAATTAGCAAAAGGCTCCTCTTTCTCCAGGTAAACAGAGCTCCGTGCCAGTCAACTGAGTTTATGGAGCGGAGTGACTCAGAACACATTGTACAATACGTGTCCCTTAAAGGAAGCCACTTGAGAGGTACAGAGAATGACAGCCAGTGATGGCAGACTTTTTTTTTGCCCTCAGACTCTGGGCCATAAGGTTTTCCAGCTCATACAGATCTGAATCAGCATTTTCAAAATCCCTCTGCTGGTGAGGAGCTCAAATGCGTTCTCTATATTCTCAGTCTCTTCGACTATGAAGTTCATGGATTCCAATTCTCTAGTAAAATTCTCTTTTCATCTATTTTCTCCTTCTCTTGCTTTGTTTCTCTTAAATATATTAATCATGGTTATTTTAAAGCCCTGGTTTACTTCCAGTACTTTAGTCACCTGCACAGTCTGTTTCTATTGCCTGTTTTTCTATTTGTTTTCAGTCATTTGGTCCTGTCTCTTGTCAGGCCTTGTAATTTTTGTTGAATGCCATACAACATCTGTGTATGAAAAAATATATATATAAAGTCTCCAGGTAATATCTAACTCTGGAGAGGGCTCCCCACCCTCTGGAAGCAGATGGCAAGGGGACTGAGCATCTTAGCTAAGCTGGGTGGAGGCTGAGTTGTGGTTTTGATAAGATATCATCTAACTTTGGCTCCTGCGTCTAAGGCTTTGCCTTTTAGAGATTCCAACTAAGGTCTTTAGGTGTTCACCGAGGCCCCTCCCGCCCCCCCCCCCAGCCCTGTGTTCTAACCTTATAGCCATAACATGGCAAGACTGCTGGACACTCTCCTCTGTTTTTCAGGGGCTTTCTGTTTGGCTTCTAGCCTCTTGGCCTGCACAGTTTCAGAATTTGCCAAATGTCTTAAGGGGAAAACCACCATCTATCAAGCTCACTTTACTACCCTTCCCTTTGCTCTAGGATAGTCCCTAATTTTGTCTCTCCAGCCCTAGGACACTGCCAAAATTCTGCTGGTTTCTCTGTCCCCCAGCAGCAGCAGCCTTACCTGGGAAAAGTCTAGATTCCAAGTCCCCCAATTTGCAAGTTCCACAAGGGGAAAAGTGGCTGCAGTATACATCAGCTCACCTCAACATTGTTTCAGAATCTTGGCCCCTCTAGTCCCGGTAGCTGCAGCAGCAATGTGAATGCCTTTAAATAGGTGATGATGATGATGATGATGATGATGATGATGATGATGATTTGATTTGGCTTTTCTAGTTGTCCTCAGAGCAAGTAGAAATTGCAAAAAATGAAAGTAGCCCATAGTTCAGAAGTCATCCACTGGCAGGGCTGTAAGCAGCACACAAATGCGTTGTTTGACATCCCCCCACACACAACCACCACCCCTCCTTTGCAATTAATTGTTATAGTGGACATTTGTTATACTTTGCATCCATCCAGACCTTCTCAAGAGAAACCAAAGCACTTTTCCAGAACCTTCCTTGCAACGGAGTTTCATGTGACCTAAGCACTTCTATTAAACATGTCACATGAGATTTATACTTGGAAATGAGCAACAAAGAGGAGTCTATCTGATATAAGCATGACAGCCAGTGCACCTTGCTTCCAGGTGTCCTGCCCCTGTGTAAGCTTGGGGTCTGTGCTGAAAGGCACGGCACGGTATTCACAGGGGTGGTTTGGGCATCATTCCTAGCTGTGCAGCCCGAGCCTATAACTCTTGTCCTTCTGGAGATTCTACAGGCTTTCTACCTGTCTTAGTCTGTCTTGGCTGACATAACAAAATTCCACTGATGGGTGGCTTCAACAAAATAAATTGGGGCTTCTGGGTGACTCAGTCGATTGAGCATTCGACTCTTGATTTCGGCTCAGGTCATGATCTCTCAGTTCGTGGGTTTGAGCCCTGTGTCGGGCTCTGTGCTGACAGCATGGAGCCTGCTTTGGATCCTCTCTCTCCTTCTTTTTCTGCCCCTCCCCCCGCTGTCATGCATTCTCTCTCTCTCTCTCTCTCTCTCAAAATAAGTAATTTAAAAAACCTTTTAAAAAACACAGATATGTGTTTTTCTCACAGTTCTGGAGGCTGGAGATCACAGTGCCAGCATGTTCAGGTTCTGGTGAGAGACCTCTTCCTGGATTCAGAGGGCGTCTTCTTGCTGTGTCCTCACATACAGGCATGGTTCACATGGCTTTCTCTTCTTATTAGGCTATCCCCCTTTTGAATTAGGACCTCACCCTTTGGCTTCCCCTAGCCCTGATTACCTCCTAAACATCGCAAAGGCACATTAAGGAGAAGAGCTGAAACATGAATTTGGGCGTGGGGGGGGGGGGATGCAATTCAGTCCATAGCACCACTCTGTTAAAGCACTTTTGCTTGAACTACCTGGAGTAAATTGTATCATTGTCACAAAGAACCTTGACTGATAATCTTACCAAAAATTCCAAAATCAGGAGACACTACCAAAAATGGAGATTTCTGGCATTTCTAGGAAATCAGGAAGATCTGGCCTCATTGGGCAACAACTGGCTGGATGTGAGAGACAGCAACCCCTTTCAGATGGGACACAGCTCACTCCAATTCACCATGACCTCCACTAAGCCCCTTCATTCATTATTTATATTTCTTGCCTAGCCCCTGAAGGCATTTGCATTTGCTGCCCCTGGGATAGCTTAAGGTAGTTTGCACCTTGGATCCATAGGAATCCCACCAATTCCAACTAGTTTCAACTGTAAGAATAGTCTCATATTAGAAGTCCAGTCCAATCAAAACTCTATTCTCATATCCAGTTTAATACCTCTTCCCCACCTGCCCTGGTCTGACCCAAAGATGGCTCGGGAATCTGCAACAGGGACTAGGGCAGGTGTGTCCTCTCCTGCCCCTTCCTGGCTCTGCCGGAGTATGGGAGCAGGGGAGCGTGTGGAAAAGGGAAAGCGTTCTCTGCTGAGAACAGGTGACTTCAGGGATAGTTCTCTCTGGTGTTAGATGACCCCACCACCACCACCACCACCACCATGTCCTGGCAAGCACTCACATGGTTCTTTTACTCGGGCACACTGGGGGATCACTGGAGACCTCTGTGGGGACCTTGTGGGGACTCAGTGTGCATACTGGGTGACCTCTTGCATACCCTCTTTTTCATTCATACCCCAGGAAGTACCCCACATTCTCTTTTGAGGTCCTGGAGGCCACCCTCTTGGGTGAGTCTTTTCAGGATGACTCAGACCTCCAGACATACACCCTGGCCCATGGGAAATAGGATACACCTTTGCCCTTTGCCCTCGCTCCTCGCCCTGCTGTCATGGACAGCCCCA